ACCAAATGATCATCTCAAAAGATGCAGAAAAAGCTTTTGACAAAATTCAACACCCATTTATGATAAAAACTCTCCAGAAAGTGGGCACAGAGGGAACCTACCTCAACATAATGAAGGCCATATACGACAAACCCACAGCAAACATCATTCTCTATAGTGAAAAACTGAAAGCATTTCCTCTAATATCAGGAACAAGACAAGGATGTCCACTCTCACCACTATTATTCAACATAGTTTTGGAAGTCTTAGGCACAGCATCCAGAGAACAAAAAGAAATAAAAGGAATACAGATTGGAAAAGAAGAAGTAAAACTGTCAGTGTTTGCAGATGACATGATACTATACATAGAAAATCCTAAAGATGCCACCTGAGAATTATTAAAGCTAATCAATGAATTTGGTAAAGTTGCAGGATACAAAATTTATGGACAGAAATCTCTTGCATTCCTATACACTAACAACAAAAGATCAGAAAGAGAAATTAAGGAAACAATCCCATTTACCACTGCATCAAAAAGAATAAAATACCTAGGAATAAACCTACTTAAGGAGGCAAATGACCTGTACACTGAAAACTATAAAACACTGATGAAAGAAATCAAAGATGACACAAACAGATGGAGAGATATACCATGTTCTTGGATTGGAAGAATTAATATTGTGAAAATGACTATATTACCCAAAGCAATCTACAGACTCAATGCAATCCCTATCAAATTACCAATGGTATTTCTCACAGAATTAGAACAAAAAATCTTACAATTTGTATGGAAACACAAAAGACCCTGAACAGCCAAAGCAATTTTGAGAAAGAAAAATAGCTGGAGGAATCAGGCTCTCTGACTTTGGACTATACTACAAAGCTACAGTAACCAAGCCAATATGGTAATGGCACAAAAACAAAAAGAGATCAATGGAACAGGACAGAAAGCCCAGAGATAAACCCACGCACATATGGTCAACTAATCTACGACAAAGGAGACAAGGATATACAATGGAGAAAAGACAGTCTCTTCAATAAGTGGTGCTGGGAAAACTGGACAGCTACATGTAAAAGCATGAAATTAGACACTCACTAACACCATACACAAAAATAAATTCACAATGGGTTAAAGACCTAAATGTAAGACCGGACACTAAAAAACTCTTAGAGGAAAACATAAGAGGAACACTCTGACATAAATCACAGCAAGATCTTTCTTGACCCACCTCCTAGAGTAATGAAAATAAAAACAAAAATAAACAAATGGGACCTAATGAAACTTAAAAGCTTTTGCTCAGCAAAGGAAGCCATAATGAAGATGAAAAGACAATCCTTAGAATGTGAGAAAATATTTGCAATCGAAGCAATGGTCAAAAGATTAATCTCCAAAATATACAAATAGTTCATTTAGCTCAATATCAAAAAAACAAACAACCCAATCAAAAAATGGGTGGAAGACCTAAATAGACATTTCTCCAAAGAAGACATACAGATGGCCCAGAGGCACATGAAAAGCTGCTCAACGTCACTAATTATTAGAGAAATGCAAATCAAAACTACAATGAGGTATCACCTCACACCACTCAGAATGGCCATCATCAAAAAATCTACAAACAATAAATGCTGGATATGGTGTGGAGAAAAGGGAACCCTCTTGCAGTGTTGGTGGGAATGTAAACTGATAAAGCCACTGTGGAGAACAGTATGCAGGTTCCTTAAAACACTAAAGATAGAATTACCATATGACACAGCAATCCCACTACTGGGCATATACCCAGAGAAAATGATAATTCAGAAAGACACATGTACCCCAATGTTCACTGCAGCACTATTTGCAATAACCAGGTCATGGAAGCAACCTAAATGTCCATTGACAGATGAATGGATAATGAAGATGTGGTACATATATACAATGGAATATTACTCAGGCATAAAAAGCAATGAAATTGGGTCATTTGTACAGATATGAACAGACCTAGAGTCTGTCATACAGAGTGAAGTAAGTCACAAAGAGAAAGACAAATATCATGTATTAATGCATGTATGTGAAATCTAGAAAAATAGTACAGATGAACCTATTTCCACGGCAGGAATAGAGATGCAGATGTAGAGCATGGACATGTGGACACGGTGGGGCAGGGCAGGGTGGGATGAATTGGGAGATTAGGTTTGACATAAATATACTACCATGTGTAAAACAGATAGCTAGTGGGAACCTGCGGTATAGCATGGGGAGCTCAGCTCAGTACTCTGTGATGACCTAGATGGGTGGGATGGGGGTGATGGGAGGGAGGTCCAAGAGGGAGGGGATATATGTGTACATACAGCCGATTCCACTTTTTGTACAGCTGAAACTAACACAACATTGTAAAGCAATTATACTCCAATAAAGAAATATATAGGAGACACACAGAAAAGACACAGTAGAGAAGAACTGGATTTTCCCTACTCAGGAGGTAGACTGAATTGAGTTTTTCCTTTATACCCATTAACTACTAGACCCTCTAAAAGGTCCTGAATATGGGTACAACATTAACAATTGGACCAACATAACACCTTAGCAATATCTAGGGATAAACTAAGGACAAGAAATACTGTCTTCTACACGTACTTATAATATAACTTAAAATATAAAGGTCCAGGGGTCCTGTAAGCACACGGCCACTCTCTTTCTGGTGTAGGGGATGGCATAAGGGAGACCAATACATTTTGCATCAACCTATGGCTTCTCTCTACCTTGTTGTCACTGTTTGGACAAGATTTCCTACCCTGAAGGAAACAAACAGCCAGACCAGAGGGATAATTTCTTATATCTCTAACTCAGGGCCTTGTGTTTCTGATCAATATTTCAGGTCATTGTTCTAGCAACTTTAGACCTTGTACCTGTAGTGGGAATGGATGGCATGCCCACTTTCTTACCAATGCACTTCAAGGTGCCCCCTGCCTATATGACCAGAGCACCCCTTTCTAGGGCACACCTAATCACTGGAAACAGGAAGGTACTCCACTCAGCAATTACAGGACAATGAAGCAGCAAGGGATCAGAAGACTCAAACTCACCTAATCAGGCAAGTTCGTTTTTCTCTCTTCATTCAGTAGGGTGTCTTATATGTGTTTTACCTACCTCATGGGGTGGCTGAGAAGACCAAATGAGTCAGAATCACTATTTTTAAGGTAGAAAGAAACTTCAGAACTCACTTACTAACCTGGAGTTTCTGGGTCCTTAGAAATCCCCAGGTTTGTAATGGGACCCTAACTTTCATTTATATTAAAAAGGCCAAAGGAAATTGTACATTTATTTTGATGAGAAAGAAAGCACTGACTGACCAAGGCACTATGTTGCTTTGATCTGACAGGAACAAATGTTTAAGAAAAAAAAATTGCTTGATGCTCAAACTTTCCAAAGGAAAGTGTCCTAGTAGTCTGAAGGCTGAAAACATTTTACTGCCTTAGCCCCAAATGTTTATTCTATAGGCAAAGGAACTGAAGATCCAAGAGGTGAAGCCAGGGGACACAAACTAGCAAACAGAAGGTCTTGGATTCAAAACCAAGCCTTCTGGCTCCCAAACCAGGAACCCCACCATTTCGTTACCCAATGAGAGAGTTGAGTGCAGTGGCGGAAAGCATTAATTTGGAGTCAAAATGAACTAGGTTAACCCCTGGATATGCCACTTGCTGACCTTTTGGAGTCTCAGTTTCTTCATCAACATAATGGAGAGAATAATGAACAACTTCTTAGGGTTGGTGTAAAGACCTGATTAGATCTTGAATGTTCAGAACACTTACACAGTGCTTGGACTACAACATGTGCTGGAAAAATGGTAGCTATTATCATAATTAATTTCCTTATGAGTTTCTGATATGCAGTTTGTAAACCTTAAAAGAGCTATAAAATGCTAAACTTATATTTATCTACATGTATATGAATAATATAATATATAACAATTTAATAGTGGTTATTAGTACTAAATCGTTTTAGTCTATAGTTTAAAGCTCTCTGAGGAAGAGAGCTAAAACAACACGGGCTAACCATTTTGTAACATTCAAATAGAAACAGAGTAGCAGATAGTTGCTGTCCCAGCCTCTTAGCATCATTCCCTTTTCTGTTAACCACAGCCTAAGCCTTCTTGGGGTACCCCATCCTTCTCTTTCTTGGTTCTCATGGTTTAGAGATGAGAACACTACCCAAATCTAAACCATCCTCTTGGCTATGGTGTTTGCCTTGCTGTTGCCCAAACAACCCAAGTCAGGCCAGTGCCAAACCAGCCAGTGCCACAGTATTGGAAAAAAGGGAAACCATTTTTTCCCCTGTGGATGGAAACCTGGGAGGATGTAAGTCTGGAGCTACTGGGGCCCACAAACTGGAGAGAATCTCTCAGAGAACAGAGCTGACACAGAGGACAGCCAAGTAGAGGGAGGAAGATTGCATTTTAATTGTAGTGTTGAGGGCCTGAAGCTAGCAACTCCTAAACTTTCCAACATGTGAGCCCCAAATTCCTTTTTTTACATTAGCCAGTCTGGCCTCCTATCCCTTACAACCAAAAACGTCTTTAATAAATACGCATCAGTAAAATGAAGGCACAATATAGAGTTTAACATTGAATGACAGAATCCCCAGACCCAGACAGTACAAGTCTGTATAGAAGAGATTCTAAGCGCTGCCTGTAATCACGCTGTGTCTCCAAATGTGTGCTAGATAGCCAGTGAGAGAGCCTGTGACCTCAGACAGTCAAGTAATTTCTCTCTGAAGTTGCCTGCAAGAAAGCAAAGGCTGAAGGATCAGAGCTGAACTGCCTCAGGATGCTTTCCACCTTCCTACTCCAAGACCCAGGTAGTTTTCTCCTAACTGTTCACCTTCTAGCCTGAACCTGATTCCCTGCAACCGTCACTTTGGGCAGAAACAATGTGAACTGGAAGTTCAATCTGGTCATTGCTGGAAGGTGCAAGTTCTGTCCACTTTTCCATTCTCCCATTCATGCCAATTATCATTGCTATTTCTCTGCATGAAACAATAATACCTGGTGTTGGTGTCCCGGTTTACATCCACTTGGAATTGAATCAGATGGTCTTGAAGATTTTGGGCTCGCTCACAGATATCATAATTTAGGGTCATGGTGTCAAGGCAGAACATGGCCAAAGGCACGCTAATGTGCATGGATGCAATTTCATTTCTCCGCTTTTTTATGCTATTGATCCTCTGTAGAAGAGAGTAGATTCAGTAGCTTAATTTGCCTCTAGCCTCTATGCATTTGCCCCCAAGGCTCACCCCCAGTCAATATAGTACAATGTTGAGCATAGTATATATACTAATGAAACACGCTGACTACTCAATGGATTGTCTGTAGCACATGTAACCAAGATACGAAATGTCAAATGGCATCTCCTACCATCACAAAATCCTCAATTTCATGATTTTCTTTCAGGAACGCAGTGATGTTTTGCTCTGCAGTGCTACCCAATAAGTCATCATACTTCTTGTATACATTTAAGTATCTTCCATATTGAAGAGCATAAAATCAAACATACAAATACAGGTCACCAAATCAGATTAGTCAGAGTGGCAAATGAAGAGATAATATCATAAAAACCAGCCCAAATCACGAAAGAGGAATATAACGTGGCAAAATAGAGTGAACTGGGAATTCAGAACTTTAGCTTCAAATTCCAATTTTGCCACTTCCTAGTTGCATGAACTTAGACAAGATATTTCTCTTTTTCAAAGATCAGTGTCCTTAATTTTAAGTGGAAATGATAAAAGCTCACTGGATTGTTGTAAAGCTGTAATAATATATATTTAAAGCAGTTAATACCATTCCTAACGTACAGTAAATGTGCAATAAACATTACTTCCTATCCCTCCTTCTGGTTCTAAAATTCTACATCTAAATTTTAAGATGAAAATTTGTTTCTAATGAACCTAAAGTCTATAGAATAGAATTAAGTTTCCCTCTGTCTGTTGTCAGATGAGGCAGAAATGGCTGCACAGATTTCCCCCAAGTTGGAGGATGTTTGGGGGATGCTCTGACTTAAAATAAGTTTGAATTAAAATAAAGATGACATGGAGTAAACAGAATTAACTTTGTGGGGCCCAGGGGTATACTTCCAAGAGCTGGCTAACACTTCAGAGACTCTAAAACTGAGACACAAGGAGAAGCCCATGGAACTGTCAGTACAGAAAAACAAACTATATGTATATCAACAACAGGGAAAACAGAGGTTTCAAAGAGATGACACCAGATTAAATTCACGAGGGCAGAGCTTTCAAATCTGAGGCCGTGGTTTTCAGAATAGATTAGCAGCAGTTCTCAGCTGGGGGTGATTTTGCCCCCAGGGGACATTTGGCCATGTCTGAAGACATTTTGGGTTGTCAAAACTGCAGAGCGTCCTACTAACAGGTAGAAGCCAGGGATGCTGCTAAACATCCTACCATACACAGGACAGCCCCTCATAATGCAGAATTTTCTGGTCTAGTCTTCTTGCTTCCCTTCCTCTTTTGTTCTCTTCTTTTGTGATTTGATGACTATCTTTAGGGTTGTGTTTGGATTGCTTTTTCTTTTTTGTATCTATTGTACATTTTTGGTTTGCAGTGACCATGAGGTTTTGACATAGCAGTCTATATATATATATATATATACACACATATATACATATATACATACAAGATTGTTTTAAGTTGGTGGTCTCTTAATTTCAAATGTATTTCCAATATCTTGCACTTGTAGTCTCCTCTTCTCACAATTGCTGGTTGTGACATCATATTTGTGTGTGGATGATTTCCTACTTTTATTGTATGTTTGCCTTTACCAGTGAGCTTTCCCTTTCGTAATTTTATTGTTTCTGGTTGTGGGCTTTTCTTTTCCACCTAGAGAAGTTCCTTTAGTATTTGTTGTAAAGCTGGTTTGGTGGTGCTGAGTTCTCTTAGCTTTTGCTTGTCTGTAAAGCTTTTGATTTCTCCATCGAGTCTCAATGAGAGCCTTGCTGGGTAGAGTATTCTTGGTTGTAGGTTTTTCCTTTTCAACACTTTAAATATATCATGCCACTCACTTCTGGCCTACAGAGTTTCTGCTGAAAAATCAGCTGATAACTGTATTGGGTTCCCTTGTATGTTATTTGTTGCTTTTAATATTTTCTCTTTGTTTTTAATTTTTGTCAATTTGATTAATATGTGTCTTGGCATGTTTCTCCTTGGGTTTGTCCTGTATCGGACTCTCTGCACTTCCTGGAGTTGAGTGAGTGTTTCCTTTCCCATGTTAAGGAAGTTTTCAGCTATTACCTCTTCAAATATTTTCCCAGGCCCTTTTTCTCTCTCTTCTCCTTCTGGGACTCCTACAATGCAAATATTGGTGCATTTAATGTTGTTCCAGAAGTCTCTGAGACTGTCCTCATTTCTTTTCATTCTTTTTTCTTTATTCTGTTCCACAGCAGTGATTTCCACCAATTGATCTGTCTTCCAGCTCACTTATTCATTCTTCTGCCTCATTTATTCTGCCATTGATTCCTTCTACTGTATTTTTCATTTCAGTTATTCTATTTTTCATCTCTGTTTGTTTGTTCTTTAAATCTTCTAGCTTCTTGTTAAAGATTTCTCGTGTCTTCTCAGTCTGTACCTCCATTCTGTTTCTGAGACCTTGGATCATCTTCACTATCATTACTCTGAATTCTTTTTCAGGTAGATTGCTTATTTCTACTTCACTTAGTTGTTCTTCTGAGGTTTTATCTTCTTCCTTTGTCTGGAACATAGTCCTCTACCATCTCATTTTGTCTAACTTTCTGTGTTTGTGGTCTCTGTTCTGCAGGCTGCAGGACTGTAGTTCCTCTTGCTTCTGGTGTCTGCGCCCTGGTGAGTCAGGTTGGTCCAGGGGCTTGTGCAGGCTTCCTGGTGGGAGGAACTGGTGCCTGCCTACTGGTTAAAATCCATGAATTTCTAAATGCCAGAACCTGTCTGGTGCCATGGCTTTCACATAATAGAGGTGAACCTATTATTTGAATTGTGGCTCTCCTATCTATTTGCTGGAAAGTTATGGTTTCCTTATCTGCAAATAGGGCTAAATAGTAATACTGATGTAAGTAAACATTGGCTACTCTTATTCTTTCAGGTATGTGGGAACAGGGATTGTTTATTTGATGACTGTTAGGAACTCTAAACCAATGCAAATGGCTAAGTTACAACTAAACCAACTTACTTGTAGGGGCCAACTTGATTTTTCTGAAATACCTCGAAAGTTTGATCCACAAAGTCAGAAACCAGTTTTTCATCAGCATTAACAGTTCCAAGAATCAGATTATTTCCTTTCAACTCTGGGAACAGGATAGATTCCACCTAAAGAGGAGAAACCACTTTTATTTATTTTTTTTAAAGATTTATTTTTTGATGTGGACCATTTTTAAAGTCTTTATTGAATTTGTTACAATATTGCTTCTGTTTATGTTTTTTGGTTTTTTGGCTACGAGGCATGTGGGAATCTTAGCTCCCTAACCAGCGATCAAACTCACACCCCCTGCACTGAAAGGCAAAGTCTTAACCAATGGACTGCCAGGGAAGTTCTGAAAGCACATTTAAATGTCACAAGATATCCACAAGACACAAGAAGGAAGATGACACCAAAATGTAAAGTCTCCTGCAATGCACTCATTTCCAGGGACATCAGCTGCATTTCAACTCTATTTCTTCTCAGATGGTGCTGGAATCACCCCACTGTTCCCTTTACCTCTATTCTCTCTCCTCTTCCTCTTGTTGGATTACTCATCTTTCAAATTCTTGCTCCTTTCAACTCTCATGTCCTCAGAGAGTCCCCCCTGGGCCGCCAGTGGATGTTAGGTTTCCCTGCTTAAAGTTCACATTCTAAATTTATCCCACTTGGCACTCAACATAATTGTAATTAAATGAATGTGCAATGAGCTGTTCTAGGTTTGTCCTGGGATATAAATACCATGAGGGTCTGGATTGTATCTGACTTCTTCACTATTGTGAAGGGCTTAACAAGAGCTTGGCACATAGTAAGTGCACATAAACATTGTGTGAGTGAATAAATACTACAGTGGTACCCCTCCCCACCACCAAACACTTTCCTCTCTAATGAAGAGCTACTAGAGGCATGGGTTCCAATTCAAACTCTGCCGCTAGCTGACTATGTGACCTTAGGTAAGCTACTTTCTCTGGACTTTAGTTTTCTCATCTGAAGAAAGGGAGAGATGTACTAGATTCTTCTCTCAGTTCAGGAGAAAAAGCTATGTCATTATGATCTGAGGCACAAAAAGTATTTTTCCTGAGAATTCAACACTCCAACTTCTTAATGGCACATGTGTATCTCTGAGAATGTTCTCAGTTGCATGACTCATGCGAGCTGCAAGTCCTTGCTGGGGACCCACTGCCTTCCACTGCTCTCCCTACTAAGAAAGATTTTAGTGATCTGTCTAAGAAAAGACTCTTCAGAGGGCTTTACTGAGTTATGAGTTATATGCTGCTGATGAAAACGCATTGATTTAGAAAGGGGGAAAAGCAAGTGCAACTGATTTTTGTCTTCCCTCTTTGGACAATCCAAAGGTTTTTAAACCAGTGGAGAAGCAACTTCTTTGCTGTAGCCATACTGTAGGCAGTGTTTGAAAGGAGGATATGAGTGAAATGGCTTAGGGCAGCACAACTGGAGCATTCAGGCCTTGCAACAGATCATAGGTGGGCAGGATAAGGGATTATCTCTTGGGAAAAGTCTTCAATTGAAAGAACATTTTAAATGTGGCTGGTTCTCACTATGGAGAACAGTATGGAGTTTCCTTAAAAACTAAAAATATAGTTACCATATGATCCAGCGATCTCACTCCTGGGCATATATCCAGAGAAAAGTCTAATTCAAAAAGATACATGCACCCCAATGTTCATAGCAGTACTATTTATAACAGCCAAGACATGGAAGCAACCTAAACGTCCAATGACAGATGAATGTGGCCTACACACACGCACGCACACACACACACACACACACACACACACACAATGGAATATTGCTCAGCCATAAAAAAGAATGAAATAATGCCAGTTGCAGGAACATGAATGGATCTAGAGAATATTATACTAAGTAAAGTAAATCAGAAAGAGAGAGACAAATACCATATGATATCATTTATATGTGGAACCTAAAATATGACACAAGTGAACTTATTTACGAAATATAAACAGACTCACAGATGTAGAAAACAAACTTATGGTTACCAAAGGGCAATGGAGAGGGAGGGATAAATTTGGAATTTGGGATTAACAGATACACACTACTATATACAAAACAGATAAACAACAAGGACCCACTGTATAGCACAGGGAACTATATTCAATATCTTGTAATACCCCATAATGGAAAAGAATCTGAAAAATAATACATACACATATATGTATGACTGAATCATTTTGCTGTACACCTGAAACATTGTAAATCAACTATACTTCAATGAAAATTTTTTTTAAATACACCTTTAAAAAAATGTGGCTGCTTCTCCTATGCCCCACAGAGCAGTCTGTAAAACTGAGCCAAGAAAAATAGTGCTCTTTCCAGGTAATTATTGTTACTATCTGCTTATCTCCATGGCTCTCTGATCCCAGACTTCTTGGTTTTGTTATTACCTTCAGTGCTTTCTCCTGTATACTTCTCCAACTTTGGCATTTCCCTGGCGCTTTGAGTTAGAAAATTCTCCCATCAGGAGAGAGACTGACCCAAGCAACTCCATTCCATAGGGGGAATATATAATTTTATATATATATATATATATATATATATATAATTTTATACACATATATATATTTATATATATATAATGTGTTTTATATATCTATATAATGATTATGAAAGTAATGAATCGACTGCTAATGCTGTTTCAAATTCTGCTTATTGGTGGGAGGGAGGGAGATGCAAGAGGGAAGAGATATGGGAACATATATATATGTATAACTGATTCACTTTGTTATAAAGCAGAAACTAACATACCATTGTAAAGCAATTATACCCCAATAAAGATGTTAAAAAAAAACAAACCTCCCACTAAAGAAAAAATAAATAAATAAATAAATTCTGCTTATTGCACTTTCAATTTTATAAAATCCTTCCCTTACCTCATCCAGCTTCCTTTTATTTATGTCTCTCATTCACCTCTTTTCATTTCAGCCAGTAGTACAGATTCATGTTTTTCTCAGTTTTTTGCTAAGGCAAATATTTTCTAATATTTACTTTGGTTTCCTTTAGTAACTTTCTCACAAATATGCTTTCCTTTTGCACCTTGAGTACTACTTTCAAACATCTCATGCTGACGTTTTTTCCAACTTTTAAGATTCCTCTTTAACCATAAATAAGACAGGACTGACAGGGGATGGGGTACTGTCTATCTGTTGCTGTTCTTAGATATTCTTCTTAGATATTCAACCTGAGGGACTATTCTTTTAAAATGTCACTACCCAGACCAGAGATAATACAGTGTGAGGGGTTCAGGGAGGCAGACTGTGCTATGGGCATCTCTAGATGGAGAATTCAGATCCGGGGCTGCTTTTTCTCATAGTCTAGTAGAGTCATCAGCATTTACTTTCAAACCTGGTACAAACTATGACCTATGACTATGTCTTCTTGGCATTACAACCCACTAAATCTACTACCAGCCCCTGCCAGGCTGTTAGCAGCAGCAGCCACATAAGCCCTGGGCTCTCCCAGCCCAGCTGCTCAAAAACACTGCTGATCAACAGCAGTGAAGCGGAACTTGAGTGGTATGTACTTTAACTGTCTCCAAGCCCCACACTTATCCTTCCAAATTACAGGGTCTTCTCTTTCATTTCCTTCCTAGGGATACTGATTGTAGGAGAGCTGCCCACGTTTCTTCCCCCTCTGAACATCCAGTTTTCCTGTTAGTCTGACTTGGTTTGGTTCAAAACCCCCAATTTAGAGTTCTCTGGTGAAATCAACTGGAACATGTGGCTTCCCTACATGCTTCCCTACAAAGTTCAACTCTAATCATGAGCTCTTAGAACCCTCTAAGTACAGGACTGCAAAGAGAAGAGTGCTTAAGAGCACCCAAGCATCATACATAATGCATGGGGAGGGAGGGAGAGGGAGGGAGGGAGAGGGAGGGATGGGGAGGGGAGAAACACCCCGCAAGTCCCTTCCCTATGTGGGGCTGGACACCGGCCCTCTTGTCACACCAACCACCCAGAGGGGGCAGAAGATGGATTGCCAAAGAGTCACACTCATGTGGGTGATCCTGCCCAGTTCTAAAAGTCTGCTAATAACTGTCTATAATCTGATAAGTAATGTCACCCTGGAAAGGAAACTTGGAAAAGGGCTTGGGCCAGGAAGGGAAGCTTTAATCTCTCCCCTAGAAGCCTACAGTGAGTTAAACAAACAAACAAATGGAAATTCAAGAACTAAATTAGATATAGTCTTATGAAAATTCTTGGCAAAGTACATGGCAATTGATCTGCCATGAATTATTAACCCAAGATGGATATGGCTTGGGACACATCTGCCTTTTTGAGGTTGGCATCATGTGGGGAACTCAACTTTCTCACAAAGTAACTCTTAGTGTCCTTGTTAATGGGATGTGTGGACATTTCTTTAAGGCCCAAATCCTCTTTCTGGGAGTCAAGTGGGTGTACTCAGGATATATCTCCCAAAGTATCAATAAAACCCTACCTTGTACAAGTAGCCATTTTAAATATATTTTATTCAATATGTGAATTAAAATACAAATGAATAATTAAGTGAATACTATACCTTGGGAATCCCCCTAGAGTTCTTAATAATTTCCAAGAAAGAGTTGTGTATTAATTCCCAGCAGTCATCAAAAGATGGATTAAAGACAATAATGGGCTCATTGACTTCAAGCTTGATCATGATCAGCTGAGGTATAAAGAACTCCATCTCTCGGTAGGGCTCCTCAAAATCATTCCCATCCTTCAGGAGACATAAGATATGGAAATTATTACAAAATGGAACCTTCTAGAATCAAGGGAGTGAATCTTACTCATTTATAGTACTACATGGGCACCAGAAAAGGAAATGAAAGGTACCATGCACTGTTCATATTTAAAATAAGGGCAAAGTATGGCTTAGCTCACCTGAGTTCACCCTCTCCCCCTTCTTCAAAGCTTTGATTCAGTATGTTTACTTTGCTTGGAAATTCCTTTGTCAGTATTTCCAAATCCTCCCCATCCTTAAAAATTCAGCTCAAAATCCCCTCCCCTGGGAAGCCTCCTTGTTCCACAGCAAGAAATAATCTTCCACTTCTGAACTTCCATATTTCCACTTCCTCAGGGTATTTTATCTTTCTCTCGTGAGATTTACATGCACATCTTCTCTACACTAAACTTAAGGACAGGATCTGTCTCTGATCCACCTACGTTCTCAAAAATATCCAAAATATCATTTAGTACATCGTAGGTGCTCAATAAAAATTTGTTGACCGAATCCACAGGTATAAATAGTTTATCTGTATACCTCACATGAAGTTGCTAATTAGCATATAGTATATTTTAGACACTAAAATTGTCAACCTTCCTGCAGTAGAAATATTGGTGTGGAGATATTTCTAATTCCCAACACAGGTTAGTAACACAAAATACCTTTCATAAACTTCAGTGCCTAATGAAATTGGCATGGGGCAGCTGTAAAGTACTTGTCCAAGTAATTGATTCTAGAGATATCTAGATTGGTTTAAGGATTATTGATAAGCATTAGCTGAATGCCTACTATGTACCAAATACCCATAAATTTCTTTCTTTAAGATATATGAAGATATTAGTTTTCCCTTTGTGTGGAATTTTAGAGTGAGACTTGTTCCCACATCTGAGTTTATTCTGCTTAGCCAGGAGATGATTACAGTGACATATATAGGTTAGTCCACTGTACAGTGCTAACAGTGCAGAGTCTAAATTCAACAGCATTGGTTCTACATTCTTGTGAGCAAAAGGGCAATTGTTCATTTTTACTCTATTTGTAAAAATGCTTAGAACTTAACCTTTTCTGACAGGCAATTTTAAATTTTATAGCTCTTTTTAAGATAAAATGGCGCATAATATAAAATCCAAAAGAATATTCCTTGATCTCCCCGGTTATCTAAATTTAAGGGATGCTCTGAAAACCAGGACTTAGTGTTTTGGTTTTTATCTAGACTTCACTGAAGTACTTTTATGAAAGGAGTTATTAGGTCAATAAAGCCTCTTGTTTTTAGAGGTACCCTTTCAAAGACTGAAGAACAAAAGCCAATATCTACAATGAACACACACAACACTCCCTAAATATCAAGCCAAAAATTGATAACAAACTGTTTTCAACCCCTTCTTTTAATAGAGAGGATGAAAAAGTGACCACTCCCTCTACTGTAGGAGGTATGCATTCCATTTTATTCAACCTTTCTTTAAATTTTCTTAATTTCTCTAGTTCTATAGATTTTTACCAATATAGTAGGAGGTAATTATCTCAGGAAAGGTTGCTGTGTGTTTAAATAAATCATTTTTATAAACTAATAATCACCTGATATGGGTTCAAATCAAGAATTTTACTTTTTGGCTTGGCTTACAGCCGAGGACCTTACATGACTGAATCCTGAGTCTATCTCAGTTGATTCCACTCCAAAGGGTATACTGCTGGTCCCCTACATACCTTGTGTATCAAGAAAAAGGAAACGAGGTCCTTCAGAGACTTAATGACCAACTCCCTGAGCTGGAGTGACATGAAGGATGCAACAGAAGCAAAATATTCCTCAATGCGACGAGAGGAGCCATAGTCACTCTTGGGAGCAAAAAGGACCCACTGCTCCTTCTGGGAGACAAAAAGCTGGGCACAGGTGGGGATCCATCTGTAAAGAAAGCAGGGCGTCTAACTAAGAATCTCTTCCAAGCTCCAAGAAGTCCTCTCAGCCACTCCCCACTCTCCACAACAAGGCAGATGGCTCCTTTCCCATTAAGCAGCTTTGCAAATTGGTACTTTCATATCCCTGGCCACTTCACCTGCCAACATCCCTTTCTGGGGAAGACAGTAATAAGATTTGGATTGAGAGGCTATTCTCCCATTAGCAGTACCCAAATGAACAGTCCTGCTGAGAGACGAAAGTGTCTATAGTTTCTTCATTATATTCAGAGGTTGGGGTAAAGGGGTATAAGGAACTGGAATGTTCTCTCCAACTTCTCTCCCTGGCAGATGTCTGTTTTCTGATTGAGACTTTATAAGGGGAAAGAGAAAGAGGAGAAAAGGAAGGAAGCTTGGGAGGAGAAACTCCAGCGTGGCAGTGGCTGCTCAGAAGTTGAGAGCAGAAATTAGAAAACCGAAAGAAGAAATGGATGCCTCGTTGTTCCTTTCATCCTACTTCCTCCAATTTCTAATTCCCAGTGGGAACCACTGGCATTTGCATCCTATCACTTCTCTTTTCTGACTGCTAGAAAAGTACTACTCTAACAGTCAGAGAAGTACTGGTAATAGTCATAGTTGTAGATGTAATAATTATATTTAATAGCTACTACATGCCAGCTATTGTATAAACATTTTCTCTGATAATAAAAACCCGTTGGTAGGTATTATCACCATCATCTCACATAAGGGAATTTCTCTGGCTCCGGACACAGTCCTGCATGCATTTGCAAAGGAAAAAAGAATTAAGTGACTAAAAACTCCCATCCTTGGAACCTTGCAGGTATTTATCTGGGCCACCTGAACACAAGTCATTTAAATGCATTGTCCTGTAACCCAGCAAGGCCTACAGGATTTCAGAGGGAGGGAATGGAAGTGGTACTCTCATCGAGGAATGATAATGAGAGAGTTTCAAAAAGGCAGAGGAGGGCTTCCCTGGTGGCGCAGTGGTTGAGAATCCGCCTGCCGATGCAGGGGACGTGGGTTCGTGCCCCGGTCCGGGAGGATCCCACATGCCCCGGAGCAGCTGGGCCCGTGCTCCGCAACGGGAGAGGCCACAGCAGTGAGAGGCCCGCGTACCGCAAAAAAAAAAAAAAAAAAAAAAAAAAAAGGCAGAGGAAGACTAGGAGTGAGGGTCAAAGGTCAGTGTACACGAGGAGGCACAGAGGCTGTCGGGGATGGGAACATGGGAGGAAGAGAACAGAGGAAGATGTCAGTGAGAAGTCAGCAAAATCTGTGCACCCCCCAGGTTGGATACGTTTTCACTTCACAGAGTTTTTGATCTTTATGACACTGTGATACAGCCCCATTCTGAGGCCAGATACTGACTTGTTGAGAAGAATTTGGCGTGCTTCCATGCAGTGTTTCTGGATGACATCCTGATATTCGTGAGGCTGCAGAGGTAATTTTCCCTCCAGTAATTCTGCTGTTCGAACAAACCTGAGGTCTTTAAATCTGCAGAAAGAGAGGGAAAAACTTCCTAAGCTAAGTAGATGCTTTATAACAAACTTTGTACGATGGGTTCAAAGGAAATATATTTTTATTTTTCAGTGAGAGGAGATATAAACAGATTAAAACGAATTATATCTGAAAAATCTGGGAGTCTGAGGAGGGAGTAGATAGTTCACAAGAACTCTTGCAAGGAGTAGATAAACTCAGCAGGTATTACTGAGCCTTCCTATGTGTCCTGCTCCGGGTAACCCATCTGGGGAGTGGGATTTTGACACTGGCCTGGAATTTGGCTGGCTGGGAACTGGAATATCAAATGGACAAATCAAAGCTCTTTCCAACAGTGAAGACACAGAGGACAGGGCAAGCAAAGCACCACCTTCATGATCAAGTGGGTTCCACTCAATCCTCAATGTGGCCCCTGGGTGAGCTACTCAAAACAACTTGGAGGTCCACTTTGGTCTGAGCCCAGAAAACCCTATAGACCTGCCCCCGACAGCTGACAGGCTTACCGAGACACCCACAGCATCCCTGGCACAGTATCTTACATAGTACGGGTACTCAATAAATATTTGTTAAATGAACACATGAATCTCTTCCTGCCCTCTCTGATGATAATCTTACCTTCTATTTATCTCAGATTAATGGAGGTTCTGCCCTTTACCACACTCCCCAAGGCCCTTTTTTAGCTTACAGGGCCACCGTTTCTCTTCCTGACACCTATTCATTCATTTATTAATCAGTCTTTTAAATCATCAGTGCCTACAACTTCCCAAACTAGATCTTTGCTCTCTTTCTCAGCTTGCCTCAGTTCTCGCTTCTCATTTTCATCATCCACTGTAATGACCCATTAGGCACTTTCCCTCATCCTTCTAAAATTCCGCAGTCTACATTTCTATTCCTTTTTGGTGGAGGTGGTGAACTTAGTCTTCATCTTGTCTGGCCAGTCACAAAACACTGCTAGGGGAGAGCAGAATTTGAGGACCTCACTTTCCACACACTTTGATATCCAACTCCAGCATGGTCCTGGTCACAACCTGATAACTATGTTACTCATCTTTAGTTCAATCCTAAAAAACTTCCCACACTGGCCAGAAAAATCTACTCTTTCTTCAGATCACGACCCTCATTCTGGCCCCTAAACCCCTCACTCTTCACTGATCACTAGGTGACCTCTTAAAATGTTTAAAGCTAAATGCTGCAGGCCATATAAGAACATTTTTCTGTAGCATTTCCTTAACAAATCTTTCTCCTTGATGATTTTTTGGTTCAGCTGACAAAAACCTACATGATTTTGGTTCACTTTTGTGCCTTTGTTGCCTATATAATCTTCTTCAGGGAACCATGAAAAGCAAGTGATAAGAATCCTTCTTATAGTAGAAGCTGTGTGTTCAATAATTTGTCATCTTCAATATATGATCAAATTAAATTCACGTGTACATCCTCTTGGTACTGAACTTCTGGCAATTTTACCAGCCCTGTGACTGACTTTCTTGTTAATTTCTAGGTTAATTTATTTTTTGAGGCCATAAACATGCTTGTAGTTAAAGTAGTATCTTCATTTATTGAACAACTACTGTATGCCAAGCACTGTGCTAAGCACTTCACCCAACAACCCCATGAGGGAAGTATTGTTATAATTCTCATTTTGCATATAAAGAAACAGGGGTCCAGAAAGATTAACTTCCCCAGATCACACAGTTCATCAGGGACAGAGCAAGAACCAGAACCTAGGCTGTCTGGTTTCAGAGCCCACTCTATAAATTATTACTCTTCTATAAATTATTATTATATACTTCTGCCTCATTAAAAAATTACTTTTCCCCCAATGTCCTTACTAGCATCTCCAATGCCTTATAAAACTGAATTCAGTTCAAAGAGGGAATGTGTTTATTTCTTATCATTGGTGGGCTCTGTCCTAGGTTGACCTCACCTGCAATTCCTTTTTAAAATATGGTAGGGCTTCCCTGGTGGCGCAGTGGTTGAGAGTCCGCCTGCCGATGCAGGGGACACGGGTTTGTGCCCCGGTCCGGGAGGATCCCACATGCCGCGGAGCGGCTGGGCCCGTGAGCCATGGCCACTGAGCCTGCACGTCCGGAGCCTGTGCTCCGCAACGGGAGAGGCCACAACAGTGAGAGGCCCGCATACCGCAAAAAAAAAAAAAAAAAAAAAAAAAAAAATATGGTAAAACTAAGAATGTCAAAAAACAAGTAAGTTATCCAAGTAACGAGGCTCTCCAAAGACTAAACACATTCATTGAGCTACTGATTAAGTTCACCCAGTCAAAATTACATAAACATATCTGCCTCTAATTTTTCTAATAAAAAACCCAGATGGTGGCAGCTCATCATTTCATTAGCCTGCCTTTGGTGAACTCTGGTGGCCTCATTCTCCCACCAGGATTCACACCCCTTCTTGAGGGGTTCATAAAAACATTCAGTCTTCCTTCCCAGTGCAATTGATGAATGGATAAACAAAATGTGGTATAGCCATAAAATGGAATATTATTCAGCCATAGAAAGGAATGAAGTACTGATACATGCTTCAATATGGATGAATCTTGAAAACATGATGCTAAGTGAAAGCAGCCAGACGTGAAAGGCCACACATTGTATGATTCCACTTACATGAAATATCCAAAATAGGCAAATCCATGGAGATAGAAAGCAGATTAATATTGCCAGGGGCTGAGTGAAAGGGAGAAGAGAGGGTGACTGCTAATGGGTACAGGGTTTCTTTCAGGGATAATGAAAATATTCCCAATATTTTCAGGAAAGTTGCCCAAATCTGTGAGTATACTCAAAATTACTGTATTGTACACTTCAAAAGGGTGAATTTTAAAGTATGTGAATAACAATTTAGAAAAATGAAAGAGAAAAAAAAGTGGCTCCTGACGCCTCTGGACTTCTACCAATACCTGTAGCAAATTTAGTCACTGATGAATATAACTGAGACTACTGTTTGCCAACCCTGTGTTGGCCCTGAGTTACATAAAGGAATAACCTCAAAAAACTAAAAATATACATATAGAGTTGCCATATGATCTAGCAATCCCACTCCTGGGCATGTATCAACAAAACTATAATTTGAAAAGGTATATGTACCCCTATGTTCACAGCAGCACTATTTACAATAGCCAAGATATGGAAACAAGCTAAATGTCCATTGACAGATGAATGGATAAAGAAGATGTGGCACACACACACACACACACACACACACACACACAAATGGAATATTACTCAGCCATAGAAAAGAATGAAATAATGCCTTTTGCAGCAACATGGATGGAACTAGAGATTATCATACTAAGTGAAGTAAGTCAGACAGAGAAAGACAAATATCAGATGATATCACTTATATGTGGAATCTAAAATATGACACAAATGAACTTATCTATGAAACAGAAACAGACTCACAGACATAGAGAACAGACTTGTGGTTGCCAAGGGGAAGGGAAAGTGGGAGAGGGACAGAGTGGGAGTTTGGGGTTAGTGGATGCAAACTATTATATATAGAATGGATGAACAACAAGGTCCTACTATATAGCACAGGGAACTATGTTAGATAAACCTGTAATAAACCATAATGGAAAAGAATATGAAAAAGAATATATACATGTGTGACCGAATTCCTTTGCCATACAGTAGAAATTAACACAACATTGTAGATCAACTATACTTCAATAAAATAAATTTTAAAAAAGAATTTGGAAAGGAAAAAAACAAAAAGACTCAAGCCCCCATACATTTCATAGGCTAGAGAGAGTCAAAGTCGTAAACATATAATTATCATTCAGTGTGATACATTTCATAATGGAGGTCTAATTAACGCCTACTGGATACTTACATCAGGCACTATTCTAAGTACTTTGCATGTATTAAATTATTTATCCCTCCTACCAATACTATGAAGTAGGAAGTCTTATTATCCCAAATTTAGAGATAAGGATGTTACTTATGAAGCAGCACAGTTAGAGGCGGACCTGAGTAGGCTGGCTCCATGTGAGTGCTCTTAACCAGTAGGCTCCAGTGCCTACAGACAGGCACTGGGTGCTGTGAAGGCACAAAGGAGGGCCATTTAGCCCTGCATGGAGAGTTGTCACTTGCTGTTCATATTGCACTTTGGGTCTGGGATGTTTGTCATTTTACTTCAAGGGCAAGGCTACTCCCACGTAAGATGATCTCTTATGTGTGGAAGCAATAAAGAAAGGGAAGAAAAGGGACAGGAAGCACTTCTTACTCTGTAAACCACAGCTGTTTCAGGCTGAGCATCATGGGGTTCACTGTGTGCAGATGGTCCTCGTTCCACTTCTTGGCATTCCTGTAGACACTGTGCCAGGGCACAGGGGCCCGGATCACTCTTTGAGGAAATGCTCGGGGGATGCTCTCGATGAAGAGTCTTTTCCTCTCCATTGGATCCATGAGGATGTAATCCACTATAACCAACAGGGCAAACACTTGTTATTAAGCAGGGACCTTGAACACTCTGTGCTCTTAGCGTCAACACTTTAAAGGTAAATGTGCCTCTGTCCATTTACACTTGGAAATGCTCCCTCATTTACAAGGTCAGTGGTAATCTCCTGGGTATAACTAAATTGGGTAGGTTCCACTCTGTTGGTTATGTGAGATATTTCAGGGAAAGAAGAATATAACTTTACAGTCTGGAGTACGTCGAATCTGGAGTTGAGTCCTGTTAGGATATCTAGCATTATGCATATCAGTGAATTAGTATTTGCTGATACCTCATTACTCATTAACTGATTTCTCACACCAAAATAGTTACATAAAAAATAAACACAATGGATGACATCAGATACCTATAAATGGAAATTTAGAGGCCAAATATTTCACGTGCTAAGGATTGGCAAAAGCCTCACAGAGGAAGTACCATTTAAGCTGGGTCACAAAGAATGAGTAGGATTTTGTCTGAAGGATAAGAAGTGCAGTTCCATGACTTTTGTATAATATACTCAAGGTGCTGTGAGTCATTCTGTGGCAGAAATAACAGGTACAAGTGGTAGAGCTCAAGGTGATAAGACTGGAGAAGTAGGTTGAGGTTGAAATTTGAAGGGCTTTACATGTTTATCCTTATAAGTTTGGTTCTAGCCTATAGCAGACAAGGAGCCATTACACTGACACCATTAGAAGGTTAATTAAGAAATTAAAAATAACAACTTGGTAAGTATAGCTGTGTTCCAGATAAAATGGGAAGTTGGGGAACTAATATGATCACCTCTCCCCTTTGATGTGTTTCTCACATTATTCGCCATCATCAAACATTTCCCAATGACCTACTGTGTGCACGAGACATGGGGCTAAAAATGAAGGGGAGGGAGGATTGATGATACATCAGCTAATGTCTAATAAGAGAGCTGAGACCCATAAGAAAGACAAGGCCAGTGTTAAATAACCGTAGAGAAACAGTGGCACGGGAGAAGTTCCAAAGTGGGATGAGTTGAAAGTAGAAACAAGAAGTGCTATGAATGCAGAGGATGGATTCATCACTGAGGGTTGCAGAGATCAAAATACTTGAGGGAAGAGGCAGGTCTTGAACTAGATTTTAAATGTGAGTAGGCCCCTACTTCTTAGTGTTGCTACTTACAGTAAGTAGCACCTGAGTAGCACCTGCATCACCTGGGAGCTTGTTAGAAGTGCAGAATCTTGGGCCTCTCCCAAACTCTACTCAATCAGAATCTGCGCTTTAACAAGATCTTTAGGTTACGAAGATGCACATTAAAGTGTGGTAAGTACTGGTGTGGACATGAGTGATGGTGGCGGGGAGCATTTGGATGAAAAGTTAAACAATGTTTTTGGCATTTTCAGCGTAACCAGGGTGAAGGACTGACAGTGAGAGGAAAGAAGGTGCCCTCCACATAGGAACCCCTGTCCCATTTATGCCCAGCCTTACCAATGCTCTTCATGAGGCTACTGTAATAGTCAGTTTCCTTCTCCTCCACAAGGACAGTCATCAGGGGTTCCAGGAAGGGACTTGTCAGCAGTGTGTTAGAAATCAGCTTTGAAATCCGAACCATCACTTCATCCTCCTCAGGGGCAATCATGTCTTTTTGGACTCCATTGGTCAAATAGTAATAGTATCTCTTCCGTAAACAAACCACCAAAAAGAAAATGATCATGATCAATTGGCTAACTGTGCCCACTTGCCCACATCTGTCAGCCACCAAGGGACCCTGTTCATACAGCACCTATCTCCATCCTTCACTCGCTCCTGGGCCTGTGACTTCACACTCATTGCAATACATCATTGGCGAGTATTCCCCATGACTCTGGAGGAGTCAAATAAAGCCAGAGAGATCTCAGCATGGTATAAGGAAGGACTTGTCAAATGTCATGCAGATAGGAACAGTGGAAGGAGGACTGAGGCCAGGGATGGAGGTGGCATTATCTGGTGAGCTTTAAGAAGAGGACTGACAAGCTCCTCAAGCGGACTCAAATAATTCACCCTCCTCAACAACAATGCTCCTATACAAAGAAAGCACTTGATCCTGTGGCTTGTAGCTGTCCATGGGGAAAAACCCCCAAGTCTGAGTGAGACTTGGGGCTTAGTTCTTCTAATCCAACCATGGGGCTTTTGAGTTTAGAAAAGCCACACAAACACAGGAACTGAACAAAAATGCCCAGTGGGACCTGGTGACGTTAGTAAGTTTGGTTTATTTAGGGCTTGCCTCTAAGCTGCTAGATGGCTGAGTGGCTCTGGAAATGAATAATTTCAGATGGATAAGAAGCACAAAGCATAGGAAAGGGTTTGAAATCAGATTTGACCTTCAGTGCCAATTGTCTGTGGTCAGAAGAGGCTGAGCTTACATCTCTTCAACCTTAATACAGGACAAACTTCCAAACTTCCCTCATTATAAGAACTGCGTGGGGTGAGGAGAGAGGCTCCTGTTAAAATGCAGATTCATAGGCCCCCTGCTAGGGCATTTGGCATTTGTTAACAAGCACCCCAGGTGATTCTTATTTTCAGGCAAGTTTGAGAAATGCTGTGTAGCTCCTAAGAGCACAGAGATGTCAGTATTAGCCAGACCTGGTCTAAGTTCTAGTTTTGCCTCTTACTGACTGTATGACCTTGAGCAAGTTACTTAATCAGTCCCCACCCCAATTTCCACAACTACGAGGACCCAAAGGCACCGATTTCTAAGACTTACTAGAGCAGAGAATTCAGGCATGCACACCTTCATTCAGTAGTCTGTCATGGGGTCTGGACTTCAGTATTTTTAAAACATTCCCTAGGTGCCTCTGCTGTTTTTCTCCAGTTTAGAATCACTGAGATGCCAAGAGTAATACTTAGCAAATTGAGAGAAAGGAGGCAATAAGAATGTACCTCCAAGTCTGATTCAGTTGGTTTGGTTTCTTGACTTTCTATTTCCATCTCCTGCTGTAACATCACATTAATCTGTTCTTCTGGACTCATTGGTCTGCTTCCTGGGAGAGTCAAAGATGTCACCACCTCCGTCCTCATAGGTAAGGAGGTTGAGGTGTTGCAGGCCAACCTCGTCCTGAAAAGTAGACACAAGCTCAGTCCTTGGTTCCATGGAACACCTCATAGGTTTGTTAGCATTGGTTTTGCTTAGTTGGCTAATTTATTTTTATTTAGAGCCTCAAAAAATTGGATTAAGAGGATTGTTGGGAAAAGAAACATGAGTAACTAGGTAGCCAGGAATGCTTTAAAGTCAAGAAGCAGAGCATGGCTTTCAAGAGACCACAGCCTTCTTCGGTTCAGCCCAGTGTCCTGCAATCCCCTGTGCCCATGGGGACACCTTACCCAGTGAGATCCTCTTTGCCTTTGGGGGAGAACTTCATTTTCTTCTTGTTAGGCTCTGATGAGCTTTTATTTGCTACAACAATAGAGAAGAAAGACATCAGTGATGAGCAGTGGCCTTGGGCGGTCCTCTATCCACAGGGATGCCAGTCTCAGGGTAGTGCAGGAGAACACTAAGCGGGGTGGACTTGGTGTGGTGGGATGATGCAGGTGATGTGGGCCCTGTACCACTAATTACCTGTGTGACCCTGAAGAAGTGGCCATCACTCCAAGCCTCAGCTTACCCAACTGTGAAATGGGGATGAGCATACCTTCTGTTATCCCATACATTGGGCAAGTATTAATAATTGCTCAATTCACTCCCCAATCCTATATGCTCTATTTTCTAAATATCAGGTGTATTACTGCTTAATATTTTTCTTTAAATAGATTCAGACTTTTAAACCTATGTATTTATTTTAAAGGAAATATTATGATTATCACAAGTAGAAAAACCAGTATCATTTGCAATAAATATAATTATTGCAAATAGAAAAACCGATGTCATTTGTAATAAACAGAAGGTATTGTAATAAATATCATTTGTGATAAATAAATTCAACAAGTAATATAAAACTCTACTATTAAACTTTAACTGGATACTTGCTTAAGATTCTAGCCTAAGGAAACTAACATGTCATAGAGACATGTTAAAGACATACTAATATGAATTTGACATTTTGAGGGAATCCGAGGACTGAAGACTCTTGGTTAAGATGTATTTTGAGTTCATACTTTAATTTCCTCAACCTACTCCAAATATAACAATAATAGAAAAAATGTTCTTTAAAATTAAAAGGACAGTGCATTGTTCGATAAGATGCTCTTCTGTGTGGACTAAAAATAAACACATTGTGAACTAAAAGTCTTAAACTTGGCTTCTGGCTCCAGAAGCAGGCAGAAGTAGTTAGGTGTTTGATACCTGGGGGGAATAACAGAACCCAAAACATACCTTGATTGTGGGGACTGCAGGTAGGCTCACAGCATGAAGCCAGGGCTGCCCTACCCACGAGGACAGCTGCAAAGACAGCAACACTGTCATGCAGATAAAGCACTTGTTATCCTCAATTCACATGGTGGCCACAGATAGCAAAGAAAGGCTGGTAATATCTAGGCCAAGCCTAACATTGCCTCAGGGACCAGATCTACAATCCCCAAACATCACCTTAGGACGGGAGTCCTAAGCCTCCAATATAAGATCTGGTACTAATTTGGGGTCCAAGATGCTAGATGAAGGCATAAGGGAAAAAGGCAAGATTTTAAAAGGTATATCAAAAGAATACACTGTTTGAGTACATTTATATGTGAGAGCAACCAAAACTAACCTATGGTGACAGAAATCAGAAAGTGGTTACCCTGTGGTGGGATGGTGTTGGGTAGAGGAAGGAACTGATGGGAAAGGAGCACAAGGGAACTTTCTCTAGTGATGGAAATACCCTATATCTTATTTGGGTGGTGGCTATATGGTGTAAACAACTGTCAAAACTCATTGAACTGAACACTTAAGATCTGTGCATTTTATTGTATGTGAATTATACCTCAACCAATGGGGAATGCATGTAGAAAGAAAGGGGAAAACTCTCAATATAAGTCTGCAAACTAAAAATCCCATAACACATGAGAAAAACCAATACTAAGAAAGATAGCAAATAAACTCAATAATTGAGGGACATATTTACAAAATGGAAATAATACAGCAATACTGATAATTCTCTAAAATAAACGTTTAAGATCCTCCAAGTGATTGATATTGGAAGGGCTATGTCCATGAGAATAGAATAATAAATTGGCAAGTGTGGTCCTCATAAATAGAACCACTTAGGAAATCTGAAAATAAAAAGATACTGTCATTAAAACAAAACCCATTCATTAGACACGTTAAACTCAAGACTGAACACAGCTGAAGAGCAAATTAGTGAGCTGGAAGATATATTTGAGGAATTCACCGAGACACAGCAGAGAGGATAAAGAAAAACATGATAATGAGTTTGAGACAGCAGGCAGATTGAAAGTCTCCAACACACTTCTAACAAGAACTACTAAAGGATATCCTTAAGCAGATATAGGTGTACCCAGTGGGACTAAACAAATTAATACATATAAAATACTGTGGTAAGCAGCTTCCAAGATGGTCCCCAAGGATCCTCACTTCTTGGAATCATGCCCTTGTGTAATCCTCTTAAGTGTGGGCGGGACCTACCAACTCACTTCTAACAAAGAGAAAATGGCAAAAATGATAGGATGTCACTTCCAAATTTAAGTTCCAAAAAGATGGTGGTTTCTATCTTGCTGGCTCTCTTCTCTCTCTTGCTCTCTCCCTTGTTCCCTCTAAGGGAAGCCAGAAGTCATATTGTGAGCTGCACTATGGATAGGCCCATATGGTAAGAAACTGATGTTTATGGCCAACAGGCAGTGGAGGATGTGAGTGAGATTGGAAGAGGATCCTTCCCTAGTTGCCTTTCGATGACTGTGGCCCTGGCTGACACCTTGATTGTACACTTGTGAGAGATTCTGAGCCAGTTAAGCCATGCCCAGATTCCTGACAGAAACTGTAAGATAGCAAATGGTAGTTGTTTTAAACTATTAAGTTTGGGGGTAACTTGTTATGCAGCAATCAACAAGAAGCACATGGAGCAGTGCTCGGTGTATGGTAAATGTCATGCTAGCCATTACAATCATTTGCATTTCAGAGACGAGGAGACTGAGGCTCCATGAGGTTACCCAAAGTTAGCTGCAGCAAAAGGAGGAGCCAGGACTAAAACCCAGGATTAGAAATCTCACTCCAAAGCCCTATTCTGAGTGGGTATGGCACACAGCCAGAAATACCTAATGGCAGCCCCTGAACAATCTTCTCCCTGGGGACACTGATGGTGACGGGCTGGTAGACCTTCAGCAGGTCCTTCAGCTTCAGGTCCCGGGCCATCAAGGAGTAGTTGTTGGCAATGGAGTTGCTGGGTCCACAGTGGTGGTGCTGCTCTTTGAAGGGTGCAGCCAGGGTCCATGATGTGCGTTGCATCAAGGGTGGGTAAAAGCTGTGCGACATGACTGTCTACAAGGGAAGAAATGCAGAGTGACACATGATGAGGGACATCACTCAGGGGGCCTGGGCTCCTTAGGGCCAGGCTCCACTCACACTGAGACTCATGGCATCCCACATGCCTTCCACGGTGGCTCTACCTTCTGCACACTGAGTGCAAATACTTTCGGAATGGACACCAACTGTACTTCCCTGACCATTGTGAGCATGATTTCTGATGACAAGGATGACAGCTTGCTTTCAATACTCAGTAAATTTGTGATCAGATAATTTACATCTACTGTCTTTATTGCTATGGATGTGGCTAGAAGGTAGAAATAACTATTCTCATTTTACAGCTGAATATGGAGAAGTTCAAAGAGTTTAAATAATGCAGCAGGTAAGTGAGAAGGCCAGATTCTAACTCACCTTTGTGTTACTGCATAGCTTTCTCCCACGGTGCTGTAGCCTCTTCCAGTGGCAAAAATGACCAAGGCCTCTAATGCCACTTCTCAAGTCTCACTGTTTGCCCCCAAACTAGTACCAGCAGAAGAGTAGTAGCCAGATGAACATACCTGATAGAGTTCAGATGGTTCCTCGTTAGCAGAAGCAGGCAGAGGAGGCAACTCTGGCCGCATCTGGGAGTGGCTCATGTGATGTATCGAGTCACTTTTGTGGATCTGTGGGAAACAGACACAAAGCCACTCTTCAGGAATTAGGAAAGATTTCCAAGCTTCTGAGGTTGATAAGGAGTAAAAAGGTCCTCAGGAAAGGTTTTAGGCACAAAGTTCTGCCATACAGCACCCTTCTCACCCCTATCCACTGCGTAGGTTTCTTTTCTTAATTGTTAATGTCTCTCCTCTAGCATCTCCTCCTTGGCTACACTTCAGTGAGCAAATTCAGATTTTTTTTTTCCCCTCGGAAGAG